TGGAGGAGACCCAAAATGGAGCATGGGGATGCTGAGAGGAGGCTGTGAACCCATGGGAGGCCTGTGCTGAGCAGGGTCCTGGCAGGGGCCTGCAGACCTGTGGAGAGAGGAGCCCACCCTGGAGCAGGTTTTCTGGCAGGACTCGTGACCATGGGGGGACCTAGACTGGAGCAGGTTGTCCTTGAAGGACTGCACCCCATGGCAGAGGGACCCACACTGCAGCAATCTGGGGAGAACTGTTGCCTATGGGATGGACTCACATTGGAGAAGTTCATGGAGAACTGTTCATGGAAGGGAGCCCATGGAGCAGGGGAAGGACTCCTCTCCCTGAGCAGAAGCAGAACCAGTGTGTGATGAACTGACCACAGCCCCCATTCCCTGTTCTCCCTCCTCTGCTGGGGGAAGAGGTAGAGCTAGGAAGGAGAGAGGGGTGAAGGGAAGGTGATTTTAGGGTAGTATTTTAGTTCTCATTATCTTGCTTTGATTCTTTTAGTAATAAATTTAATGAATAGCTCTAACTTGAGTCTGTTTTGCCCATGAAGATATTTGATGAGAGATCTCTCTTCTATTTTTATCTCAACTCATGAACCTTTCATTGTATTTTCTCTCCCCTTTCCAGCTGCAGAGGGGAATGACACAGAGGTTTTGGTGGGTGCCTGACATCCAGCCAAGGTCAACCCCTATGGAGCGTTTTTCTCCTCAATATTCCTGCTTTGAAATATGCCTAGAATTAGTTTTGCTTAGAAGTTAAGGCTGTTTTTCTAAGTAGCTGTAGAATACAATATTTTATCAACCTCTAAAAATCTTGACTTGCTTATTTTAACAAGAATATCCCAGATCACAGGATAGGAGTTCAAGTTCAAAAGTTTAGTTCAAATCGTTTTAAAGTACATATTATCACTTTATGGATATATAAAGAGAGAACACCTGACAAATTAATACATCTTCAGCAACTGATACTGTGAGACTTCACGGCCTATTAAACAGTCCAGGAACTTTTTCAAGACCAGTTAGCTTTTATAGGTGTTATAAAAGGTTATGGGTTTCATTGTTTTATTATTAAAGATCGAGAAGACCCTGAAATCTTGTCTTTTAGAAAGACTCAAATTAACAAAGCAGTTCAAATTCATTAGATACACATTTTGAAACAAATTGCTCAAATGCTTAGATAATTAGTTGAATCAGGTTTGAAGTTTGAACACGTTGCACATGGCTCCCATGGGGGCTGGCAGAAATGTAGGGAAGATATGCAGAGAACAAGAAATTGCAGGTACATATTATTACAGAGTGTAATATCAAAGCACATAATAATATTAACAGCATTATCCAGACTTGGATAAATGTATCCAAGTCTGGATAAATTATCATGGATTTTATTAGAAGAATAAGTAAACGGTCAGGATTACAGAATTGGGTGCTTACTCAGACTTCTCTAAATGAAGGAAAGAATTCTTCCTGGTTATGATAAAAATAATTTCATCTGAAAGCCAATATGAATAATATTACCACACTGACCAATGACATACACATAATTCTTTTATTTCTGATACTGTGTTTTGCTCAGGTTTTATATCACCTGCTCCTAAAGCCCACCCCCAACTCAACTGCCTGTCAGGAAATCCAATATACAAACTGCTGTTATGAGTTCTGTCCTTTAAAAAATACTTTATTCTACATTTTAAAACCTAGCAACAATTCTAACATCATTTAACATTCTGGAGCATGAATTTTTTTCACCCTCACAAGCAGGAATGGCTGTTAACATTACTTAGCTGACTTTTATTTCCTATCTTTTTTTAAAAATACATTCAGTTTGCCTTAAATTGAGGATCATATTCTTTATTTCCTTTTAATGCCAAATATAGAAAAAATTTTATTACACAGGACAAATTTTCATTTCTCTATAACAAGGTTTGAGAAGCTGCTAGTGCATCATATAAAAAGTTATTAAAACTAAATATTGTGCCTGCTCAGAAGCTACATTTCAGACTAGATTATAAGCTTGAATAATCCTTTTCTTGTAAGTACAGAAAGCTTTAACACAGATTTATGAATCACACCCTACACAACGATTAAATCCTAGAATCAAATAAACTTAATATGAAATAGATTCTTGGCTGACAAGATATATACAGAAAAATATAAAATATTAACCCAGAGAGTAGCAATAACTTAAAGATCCATAGCCCATGCATCAAAATAATATAAAATTCAGTTTTATGTTTAGAAAAAAGCCTATTCTAAGCTGCAAGGTGGAATTATTTTTCCATCAAAATAGTTGCTTTAGTGAAAACAGCAAACACAGGAATGACTTTAATCACAACAGTGTCTATCTTTCTTGCTCTTGCATACACCTCTCATCCCATCCCTGGCAGAGCTGAACAAGAGATGAGTAACCAGTAGATATGAAGGGGATCTTAAAACAGACCTTAAGACAGACACTTTGATGAATTTTACCTTAGAGATCTGAGCTGAATTTTTTAGTTTTGAATTGCAATTCAGTTGAAAAAAAGAAATAAATTTCTATCTTCCATTTTCATTTTTTTTTCAGAGGATTCATGTGTTCCTTTACCCAACCCTTGTGAGTTCTGTGTCTTATATCCAACTTAGTCAGTCTGGAACCTTCCCCCAGGTGAATTTGAATTGCACACATTACCTGTTATCATCTTCATCGATGAAGAGCATTTCCCTTAAAAATGACATTGGCTTAGATGATCTGAAGCTGATACGGCAAGTCAGTTCCTTCCTTGTGCCCTCTGATGAAAGAACAATATCCTGTCCCTTTGGGAACTGCACAGAAAAAGGGCAAGTCCTGGTACCATCTGGAAATTCAAGCTCAGGAAGTTGAACTCTAATTCGTGATGGCCTGTGTTAAACATAAATAGAAGGTGTTTGTGGTCACAGGATTGCAGTAATAAATTAATAGATTCACACATTCACAGCTGAATACAGAATAATAACTTTAGTTCTAAAATGTAAATCAAATGAAACTAATTAATAAAATTATTCCATCATTTAGATGCTACTCTGTTTTCTTTGTATGTATCTGGACATTTTATGCTGACCCACAATATCTGAACATCCAAATGAAATTTCTACTAACTGTGCTACAAAGGGCATAAAGAGTTTTCTGTAACTTAAAACTTTCATTAGTGTTCATTAAACTGCACTATTGCACAAATAAGTCTAAGCAAGTTGTAAAATAGAAATATTAAGGGGAAATTTGTGAAGATGCTCCAGTATGTAGTTACAGTCATAGGTTTCAGTTCTGCAATAAGAACAGCAGCCAGGCCCATGTGGATTCCCTTCAGTTTCAACCACTGAGCTACTGACAACAGACAAATCACTTGATAAATCAGCACAACTCAGACAAGATGAGACAATAATAACCTGAAGGTAATTTAATTAATTTACAACAAAAGGAAATCTTTGCTCCAATTCCAGTATTGAAATGATACCTATGATACATATAAATATGACTGCTCTTTGCTAAGTACAAACAGAAAAGTTGAATCTTAAAAATTGGAATAGTTGCAATACTAGGTTATAATGCATTATACAAAGATTACAAAAAGTCTCCCTTTTAAATTCAAATAACAGGACAAAGTGAATGATCCACAAACAAATAAAAAATATATAGTTTTTTTATTGTGACAAGTGGTAAGATTAAAACATGTCTGCTGTCCTTTTCAATAAAACCTCACATAGAAAGAAGGGGGGGGAAAAAAACTACCAAAAAACTGCAATCCCACCAACTGTTCAAGTAGCTAAACCTCAAACCAGTGGAGTACAAAAAATAAAATAACAAATAAGATTTAAAACCTTAGTATCTGACTAAATGCAATAAAAAATCCTGGTAAGTCTCTGCTTTTAGTATCTTTGCTATCCATAGTAATTTAATATTTCTGATATAAATTTAAAGAGTGAAGATATCAGAAGATAGACACTTCAAGAAGCAGGAATGTTTAAGCACAGGCTTGTTGAATATTCAACAATATTAATTACATTAATTTTCTCTTAAATATACAGATTCTTCTGCTGAGCAGAAAATTAATACTAACCTTCACAAACAAATATTAATTCCCTTTTTCAGAAGTGAAAGAAACAAAGAATTATTCAGGATTCCTGTAATAAATTCACTTTGAGGTTTTTACCTTATAAAATCCTGTGGGATGATGGTGACGACTGCTTCAGTTTCCACATCCAGAGGAACTGGCATCAGCATTAAAAAGGGGGGATGAAAACCTATTTTTGGCAGCCTCAGTGTGCCAGACAATGTTAGCAAGTATTGTAATGGATTATCATTTACATACAAGGATATTTCAGATGTATATGTCCCAGGACAAGCTGCTGAAAAGGTTTAAAAAAATATATGTTACCATAAATACAGGAATGTAAAAGAGCGATAGTAAGAGTTTTGGGGTTGGAATTTTTGTTTGTTATTATTTTTTTTTTAATTTAGTACTGCTTTCTTTCTCAAAATATAGCTTAACATAACATAAATATTGTATCACAAGAGTATTTATTAAGAAATCTCAGAACACTTGCCTGTAGCAAACCAGAAATTCACAGGTTTTTAACTTGTCAGAATTTTTTCTGAGTTCTAACTGCAATAAATGAGTTTATTGCATTAATATATATGAAAATGGCAAACTGAAAACCAGCTCTAATGGGAATCTGCTGCACTATTTGCAACATCTGTCTACTTCAATTTTAAATATAAATCAGCTTTAGGAGACAATACTGCTGAGAAGGCTAAAAGGATGCTGCCTCTAGGTTTTGATGCAACTGGAAAACATCTTACTCTGGCACTTTGCCCTTTCATGAAGGAAAGATGAGAAAGCACCAGAAAAGAGTCATGGAGATGAATGAAGAGCCAAACAGGTTCTTCCTTACAAGCTTGTAAGAAAGGATGTTCTATACCAGCTCCTCCCATGTATGAGCCTGTCCTTTAACTATTTCTGGTGTCCTCTCTTCATCCATGTGTATGACAAGGTAAAGTGAAATGGCATATCCAATAAATACCATAGGGATGGAATACAATGAAGGAAGAAAAGCACAGGAGCATGTATCAGTACCAAAGAATGTGCAATTGTCACTAACTCACATTTTTAAACATTTGTATTAACCATGGTCTCAAACTTAGACAATAGTAGTTTTAAGCTTTTCTCATACAAATTTTCCATCTACATTTTCCATGCCCTAGAATCCCTGGCTCACCCAAAGAGCAGAACAGACAGTGCCTACCCTGAATCACTGATCATTCTGTGTGTGGATCCACACATTTATCAACACTAAAATTCAGCGTAGTATGTACACCAATAAATTATTGCTTATGTCAGAAAAACTAGGACAATGCAATACCATGATCATTTTAAAGAGACACAAAGACAAAAAAAAAAGTGAATTCTGCCATTTATTAAGATTTGTTCATTAGTTTGGAATGCCTAGCACCAGTGTTTTCAGGACATTTCATGTTAAATAAATTACTTAGAAATTAATGAGAATTATGCCCTGAACTGACAGCTGAAGTCATGAATTTATTCTGCTTTTCACACTTTTCATGACCACTGTCAAAGCCTGGGCTGTTGTTACCATTCTGATATACCACCATTCATTTCTAGTCCAGTAGATGTGAACATTTTCCTCAGCGATATTTGATGGTATTTAACAATTTGTCAATCTAAATCTTCCAAGGGCTAAAAAAATCTGTAGAATTATATGGGAAATATTTTCTCTTCTCCAGAAATATTAACTCTATAATACATTTTCAGAGTTTATGAGAAAACAGGAAAAACACCCTCTGCTCCTCTCACCCTCTTAAGTTTGTATTATATGGTTATGCAGTTCCTACATTTGTCTCCCAAAAGTATATTTTTAGTTTAGTTGCCTTGGACCTTATGATAATTCAGGTGTTGCATCTACATCCCTTCAACATTAATAGGTACCATTGAGCAATCTGCATACAGTGAAATACAGACTTCAAAGCAGAAAAGCCACAGATAGCCAGAACTTACAAGTGTCCCACCAAAAAAAAACAAATCGAAAGTGAACAAATAATTTCTTCACAGAATTTTTTAAAAGTCACAGCTAGTTAATATCTTGCTGTTGCAGGAAAAAAATATTTAAAAAAACACAATCAAAGTATCAAAGGTGTCATTTGTGCCCATTACACAATCACCACGTCTTCCAGCGTCTCTGAACTCCCAGTAAGGGAACCTAAGAGCACAAATTCCTTGTAACTTCCTTTGCTGCAGATAATTTTTTTCATATCACAATTAGATATAATGAAAAGTTTTTTAGACCGTTAATTACATTATTATTATTATTATTATTATTATTATTATTATTATTATTATTATTATTATTATTAAATTATACTATTAAACAGCAGAAGAGCATCACATGAATATGTCTTCAATTCTTGACAATCTCTATTTTTAGAATACTTTTTTAACAGGTAGCATGATTCTACCACCAACATAAGCTCTCTCAATGTTTAATTAAACATTGCAGTTTATTATAACATTTTGTACTCTATCATAATATCTACTGCAGCATATTTAAATAAATTACCCTAATGCACACTCAAAGTCCATTTAAAGGTTTGTTCAGCCATACAGCACAAGCCTATGAAAGTGATTAGCACCCCATGTTCATTAACTAGGTCTCCTGTGTGGGTTTTGATGTATCTAATGCTCTCTTATAAGAGAGAGTAATGATATGTACTGAAGGTACAGCACAAGTAGGCTATAAATCATGGGAAAATACTTAGAACATTGAATTAAGGATAATTATCTTTACAGTTATATATGAATTTCTGTAAATAAAAGATATGGGAACACAGCAAAAATAAAGATAACTTCAAATTACAGTAATTTATCAGTCATACTTATGTATATGTATATTTATGTATGCATTTACACATACAATTTATCCAGCAATTCAAAATATTGGCTTTTATTTTATGCTGTTCTCTGCTTCACAGTCTGCAACACATAAGCAACTCCAAGCAACACGTGCAATTAAACACTGCTCTTGCATATTCATAATATTTACAGAACAATATTTAATGAAGTCTTCTCAATTTATCATACAGACTCATGACAAGAATCTTATATGTCTATTTTTCTTTATTTATATTAAATTGCTTCCAGTGCTCAATTGAGGTAATAGATTTCAGTGCTACGATAAAGAATAACAGCAACATCTGTCTTTAGGACAGGAATGCTCCCTCGCTGACTCAACATCAGATCCAACTGACACAACAACTTTTCTTCCCCTTGACAGTGCTGCAGCCCCAAAAGTCCTGCACTGAAACTGTCAGCAGGACGGGGTTCTGTGGGCATCAGCTGCATTGCTGGTGAGGTTTATCAGCTCACATACAGTGTTACACCCTATGAATCTTGTGTATCACTCTCTACTCTAAACACCTGGCTGGGAAAAAAAGCAGAATCCTAATTTTCCTATTATTCTCTTCCTTTTCTGGAGTTATGTGGTTGATTATGATCTTCCTTCATTCTCCCAAGTTTTGTTAAAAATCTATTTTACATATTTTTCTTAGGGATTGGTTGCTTGACCAGTCTACTCCAGAAATACCATAGATAAATGATTTTATATCTTATTGAGTCAGGAAATTTCTATTCTTATCTAAATTAGGACTATTTAAAGAAAAGTTCAAAAGCATTCCAAGTACCCTTGGAAAGCTTTACTACCTAAGTCAGTCAGCCTAAAAGCACCTGAAGTAGCAGCACTGAAAATGATACACCTATCCCAGCCCTTAATTCCTTATGTGTGAAAAACCTGATGCTTTCTGTGTGCAAAGCAGACTTTTCAAATAATGCAATTTCAAAACCAGTGATTCCATGCTTTTTGCTAGGTCTGCAGCTGTCTTATTCTCATAACCAAAAAAACCTTTAGTTGATCAAAATTAGTACTAGTATTGATTCATCATAAAACCCCATTTAAACATATTTAGGCAAATGGCCAATCTATAGAAGAATTCATAAAATTACTTACGAGGGCAGAACGACACAGTAATACTGACTTCTTCTTCTTTATCAAGATATCCACGCTTCAGACTAAATCTGAAAATACCATCTTCCATATTTTTGTCTCCACCAAAATTCAATTTCCACATCACACGTTCTTTTGAGAGAGACTTCAGGACAAGGGTCTGGAAATATTTTCAGAAAAGGAGTGATGTTGAAAGAGGGAAAGCAGCAAACACCGTGATACTTTTCACATTGCTGTCTCCTAAGCATTCTTTATGCAAACACACCAGAGGGAAAGCAAGATAGCACTAAAAAGCACTAGAAAGTGAAGAACTCAGTTTATTGTATTTGTGGGGTGCAAAGGTGAGTATGTCTATCTGCACGGACTAGATGCTTTCCAGTCACTCACCACATTCACAAAGAGAATACTTTCTTTCCAGAATGGAAAAACCTCATTTAAGTGAGGTAAACAGATCAAAGCATCACAGTGGAAGTGCTTAGCCAAACAGAACTGAGGACTTACTCCTCGTAAAAATGAAGCACAGCAAGCACTGAACACATTACTCAAATCTACACTTAGAGGTGGAGATGTTGAAACTGAAAGTTTAGAATAGATTTTCAAAACCCACTCTTTCAATTCAATAAGATGACAGCGGAAACAAAAAAATATAATTAAATTCCTTTATCTCAGAGTTACTCTCTCAGCTTTTGAAATATGCCTAGCTAAGAAAATGTCTTGACTTGGTATTATCATTGTTTCCTGAATGCACTTGAAATAGCATTTCAAGTGTTTCCATTATCGCCAAAAACATTTTTTTCTAATTTCTAACCAAAGCCAAGGAATTAGAACCAGTAACTTACATTAAGTTATGTTTTGCATTCATACAAATTACCCATGTTGCAAATATATTTAGAGGCTTTTTCCCTATTAAGCCATAAGTCATGAAAAGGAGTTTTTTGGGAGAGTGTCAGTTGGCACAGTCAGTACCATACAAGGCACTGGCACAGCAGTTTCACTGGGTGGCCCATCATAGCACAAATCAGTTGCATCCTGGCACCATCACTGCCTCATTTACTGGTACAGGCAAATGCAGAAAATCTTCAGAATTATTCTATTCATATCCATTTCTTATACAATTCCTGGTCAATTTCTCAGAGTGCTCACATTTTCATATTGTCAGAGTTAGCACAAGCCCAGTTTCAGATTTTGGGGAAAATTTATCATGATTAAAAGACAAACAGGAAATCGAAAACTGAACAAAATGACAATGACAATGTCATTACCTGAGAGCTCATACTCCCATCAGCAGTATTGGAACTCATGTTACTCAAATGTTGTTCAAATTTAAATTCCATTGAGGAGAACCCCAATACTGGTTCAGTTGCTATTGAAAAAAAAATGTAAATGTTTATACGGCATCACTCAACAAATATTTTCTCAAAGTACTTTCATAAAATCATTTTTTCTGTACATGTTTAAGAAAAATGTTTCTCCCCTTTCTGTTGCTCCCATACTATATACATGATTACTGTAATTTAACTTATGATTCTTTAGTCACATTAAAATTATTTAAATTTTATATCTACCAGACTTGTAGCACCTCTCCTTCATTCACAAGAGCCATATGAACTTCCTTCTGCAGATGAATGCACTTACATTTCTGATACTAATCATTAGACAAGACTTGGAAAATTTTATATAAAACAGCATTTATCTTAATTTCATAGAGCTGCAACAAAGAAATCATCACAACATATTAAATTTTAAAGTGGGAATTTGAAAAAACAGAGGTATATGTTCCCACAGGCTCATCTTCTTGGAAAAAAGACTGGAAATGAACCTAGCAAGCACACAGGGTTCTTTTATTAAAATCTGCACGTCTGCTCCATGCCCAGTGTTGATCAATTCTCTTCTCCCCCTAAAAAGCCCAAAGAATTTCCTAGTCACATATATCACATTATGTAAACAAGAATATTATCTGTATTTCTCTAAATCATAGGCACATAAACTCTATAAAGTAACATTGTTTCAAAGTCAGAACAGAATCTGCTGGAACCCTTTCATCAACACACAACTATGTCACTCACAAAGGCCTCAGCTCTCTCAGAAACTGCCTGTACCAGGAGAACCCAGGACAACTGAAACTCTGTGAGGGAAAGGAGATTATCTACCCAACCAAAAAGTTAGTTATTTAAACATGAGCTGGATTAATAAAACGCATGTCAGCTCCCATGAGGCCATCACATTGATTGTACAAACTTTCCCTTTGTACCAGGCTTACATTAGACTTGTGTCTTTTCCAGTTACTTTTCTGTCCTGGTTTGTTCGAGGTTTTTCTCTTTCAGCTCTTTCTTACATGCAGATAAACTCTTTCCCAGGGAAAATTTTTATAAGTATTTAAGTAAGAGACCTGCTTTCCTTCCCAGGGGCTGAAACAGTCTACAAACTTTCTTTATTAAAAAAATCAAAAAACAGATTCCTGATGGATTGAAAACATATGGACTACACTGAAGTTAATAGACTGGGCTGACTACCCTAAATGTAAGTTTACCCTACATGTAAGTTCAGGGTGATTCTTTTCTCAGGGTGAACAACTCTGAGTATAAACAGCAATATAAGATATTGAGTGTCAACAACACTGTCCTGTTCAGTCTCAATCCCAGTCAACCACAAAAACTATCCCAGGAAAATAAAAATTGTAAGAGCAGAAAAATGTGCCATAAACATCCGGTGAGAGTTATGCATATTTGTCAAATCAAAACTTAGAACTTGCAAGATACATCTCTACTCAGTTTTACTTTTAATGTGACAATCTGAAATTATTTCATAACAGACATAGTTTTTAAGTCAGAATGTAAACAAATCATCAAGTTCATTTGTTAACAGTACAAATAATTTGCTATTTGCCTGCACCCATATGATTATCTGAAATACTGAGTGGTCAAGAAACTTATTTAGAATTTTCTGCCTCCTCCCAGACCATAAAGATTCCCAGTAAGAATTTAATTTCAATACTCAAATTTTAATAGAAACCACATTTTATTTTTTCAACTATTTCTTAAACTTGAAAGTATTATGTATTCCCTTCTATATTGTTACTTTTTGTTGGTCAATATATGTACTTTGAAGAAATTCCACATAGCAGAAATACAAACTTGTGATAAAATTTAGATAAGATTGTCAATTATCCATGAGATTTAATGATTGCATCTATTCCACAGAGAAAGGGAAAGCAAAATAAACATTTTCTTTTTTCTTCACATCACTTAAATCACTTCTGCACTATAAATTTGTGACTTGGATTCCTATTTTTACTTAGAGATGTGTTTCCTAATAATCTCATATACAAATGTACATCCACCTTTATTCTATATGTTCTTCAATTAAGTATATTTTAGAAACATTTAATACAAATTTACTTTCATGACAGGATCTAAAGAAGGTCTCTCAGATTTCTTTGTTATTTTAAAAAATCTCAAAAGACTTAAGTTAAAGTTACAGAGAAAAAAAAAGGGAGAAAAAACCAAATATAGACAAATCCTAATAAGTTGGGAGTTGCTTTTACCCCAAATTGCATATTTCATTGGCCAAGCCTTCTTCAATGCTCTCAATAGATTTAAACATTATACAAACATCATTCTAGGAAGACACTCAGTACTTCACTCCCATCTCAAATAAAAAGTGGTTATACATTAAAAACTGAGATTAGGAAAGCCAGTGTATTAAAATATTCACAATTTATAGATCTGCATGATAGTAAGAATAAAATAGGAGACTACAGAGAAACACAAATTATTTCTGAGAAAAGCAGACAAGAATTATATAAGATCAATTTCTTTGCTGCAGGCAAATGGCCTGTAACTTTGGCTATTAACTATTTCTGACAAGCCAGATGGGATGAGGGGCCATGCAGAGGCATTTTAAAGGAGTTTTAAATACAGCTAGAGATCCTAGTTTTGACAGAATTCTACAAAAGAGTATGGCTGACATTCTACTTTTCCACTCTTTTCAGAGGAACTGCTGTATTTACTGGCCTTTGCATGATGTAGTCTAGAAATACTAATAAAAGGATAGACACACAAAAACGTTTTGGTAAACTATTCTTATATAAATGGCAAATGGCAAACACAAAGAAAATACTTTATGTCGTGATTAGGTATAGAAAGTTCAGCTTCAAGCACATTTAAAAACACGAATCAAAACATGAAAATTTTTCAAGTTTCCGAGAAACGTTCAAATCATAAAAACTAAAATTAAGTAGCCATTCTCTGCAAAGCAAAATTATCTCTCTGAATATACATATCCAGCAGGTCTTCAAGGCCCTGGTGTACCCACCACTGGCTTTGACTCTACAGAATGGAAGAGCAGGGGTCACCGGGAGTGCCTCATGCGTGGCAAGATCTGGAGGTGGGAGACTGGCCTGAGGAGTAGCAATTGGGAGAGTGAAGTCCCATACTGACATCTAAAGGGAAAAAAAAATATTGTGGTCACTTTCCCAAAAACATCGTAGGTACCTTTTGAACCATGTGAGTGGCTTGCTGTTTTGACAGAACTATTGCAATTTTGGACTTCCTCGTGATATTAACAGGATGTTCATTTATTGGAACTCAGAATCAGTTCTCCAAGTAACCAGTGCCCAGGTATTTTTTTCCCCATTAAGGAAAAGCTTTATGACCAAAAGTATCACGGGTAGCAGCAGAGCTACAGTCAAGGCTTTTGGTAAATCCCAGTGTTGTGTTCCACTCCTGTCACTCTCATGAGTGAAAAAAGATTGGAGCCATGGCCCAAATGCAGCTCATGTGAGCAAAAAGGAGAGAAAACAAAGTTACATCAGTTATGGAAGCCTTTCTCAAAGGCTGAAGAGCAAAAGTCAACCATTACACTACAACCAGCACAAACAAAACGGGCTCTGAGATCAAGGGTGGAATATGAGTCAAAATTGAGAAACCTTGGGGAAAAAATGAGTCTTAAAACCTTTGTCATGAAATGCCACTGAATTCTAGGAGACTAAATTCCAGTGATTGTAATCCTCATTTTATCTGTTATCACATTCCCAAATGGGGTTTGGAACTTAAAAAATGGCATGTTTTGTACAGAATCCCTTTTTTGACAGACTGCATCAGAAAAGCCAAATTTATTTCAAAAAGCACTTTCAAAGAGGTATTTCTTGCCTCTTGCTCTGTCTTTCCAAGGACCAACACACTAAGGTAGTATGTTCCTCAGACAAAAGGTATGGATAACCTTAAGAAATGCAATAGAAAAAAAAAAAAAACAAAACTTCTGCACTAAAACCACTGTTAGAGTCCTTCAAATCCTGTTTTCACCTTGAAGGCCACTGAAATCTTAGAAAGGAATTAAACCTATAAAATCTTCACGCTGCTTAGAGAAAAGCAATAAAAACAGCTATATAAAGATGTTATGAATCGTTTAAAAGCTTTCAAAACCTGCAGAAAATAGTGCATCATTCTTCACTTTCACATCTGTGGCAGCAAGCAGAATATATAAATGACAGGAAAGAAAACCAAAATTGTCCTAAGCCAGGGCATGAGGCACATGTCCATCTGTAACACCTACTGAGAAGCAAGCACACAGCCCTGGGAGTGTTTGGTGTTCCAGCAGGGTCTGTGACACAAAATTACACACTCCTGGAGGGGGAGGTTTGTGCTGAGCCTTGTGGAACGTTTTGTCTTTTGTCCTTAGCTCAAAGAAAATATGGAATGAGGGCAAGTTTTGCAGCAAGATTACCAGAGTCCCTTGTTTCATATTGATATTTCAAATCTAATAATGATTAGATTTTATAATATATAACTGGCTTTTCAAAATTGACACTTAATATTTTAGTAACTAAAGTTCAAGATATGTCAAAAAAAAATTGAGTAAAAATATCCTGCTTTGAATTATATATGCTTCTATTTTTAGTACCTCAAGTCACCCACATAAAACACCTCATGAAGTTATGTCTTCAAAATACATTCCTGTAACAAAACTAAATTCTTTTACATTTGGTGATATTAAAATGTTTAGTCTAGTGTAGATTTCATGACACCACTGGCTGTGCACAGGAGTGCAGTCTAGCACTGCAATTGTTATTCATCAATGCTGGTATGTTTAGGCCAGACAGCAAAAGATGGAATCCCTTCATCCCTCTCCCAAAGCAGAAAATCAAAACTTGTTTTTCATCCCAACTATCAGGAAAATTTGGTTTTGTCTTACTATACAACAAGGGGTTTATTTTCTAAGAACTGGCAAACAAAAGCAAATATGTGAAAGACTCAATTCACTACATGTAGATCATGATATTCACTGAAAACCTGCTTTTGTTATGAAGTACAATGGCACAAATTCAGGGCCAGCATAACTCATAGGAATGTATTTATATAATTGAGAACAAATCATAGATCTTTTCTTTTATTCATACATTAACTACACATTATGTAAACTACATTACATGAAAAAGCCTTTAAAAATTCTATGTAAGTAGAAATCAGATTATAATTCATACACATATTGCTGAAACAGAATTAAAAATTCATTTCAGTTATTAGGACTTCACTTTGCAAGTAGCATCATTATGTTTCTTTCTATAAATATTAACAAAACTCTTTATGATTAATTTTTCATTTTTCAAACTCCATAATAGAAAATTCCCTCTTCTGCAAGATTACATACTTTAAAAAAGTAATTACAATATTTTTAAAATAAATCCTTAGACTATTACTGGACTTATCCTTGCTTTCTAGATAATTCATGAATACTTAATAGCTACTTGTCCATTGAGGTATTTTCCTGAAGCTGCATTTAACTTCTCACTCCAGAGAATGCAGGAAGGGCAGGAAGGAAGCAGCCTAGAGAGAGTTTTTTCACAAACACTTCCGTTTGTTAATATCATTATAAGAAAGATTTTTCCTGTCCTGATGTACATTTATTATGCATGTTGGTTGGAAAGGAGGCATCATCTACAAATTGAGTCTTAGAATTAAGATATTTCAAAAGAAGTTTTAAAAAGACAGGTGAGACAAATGAGTTTTTTGTCATGTGTTCACAGGGAACACCTCCAAAGCACGCCAGAAAATGGATGTTTGCTCAGGCTGCCACCAGAAGTTAACAATTCTTTAAATAAAAATAACATTATTGCAAAGTTTTATTCAGATTATTAAAATAATTTCTTTCTTTTTGTTGTGGGGGTTTTTTTTTGTGTTTTTCTTGCTAGAATTAATAAACAAATAGAAGCTGTTGGTTATAAAGAATCTGTCAGATTAAGAAAGCTATGGTACCAAAACTCATTTGGATTTATGAATTAAGTTTGATATGAACAATTTGATAGCTCTGAGCTCAACAGTGGGGAGCAAACATAGCTGAATGGCTTCCTGCCTTGGCCCTAAAAACCTGGTATAAGACAACAAAAAAAAGTTGGAAAAACTACCCCAAACATTGCAAGTAAAATGGTTTTTTACATAAAATTCATGGATCAAAATAAATAGAAGCATAGCTGTCAGTTGGCAATCTGAAAGTACAAAAAAAGTNTAGCCGGGATACAAGGAGACAAAATGTAGTGTACATTAGAAAAATCAGTTTGATTCAAATTTAAACCTAATTGCAAAACCGAGGGTTCAAGTCCTGCAACTGAATCCAATACACTCTCCCAGCCTTCCCTCAAATTTAACATGAGTTTTCCTTAAGATATACTGAAATCTTTCATTCCCCCTGGTTTATATCACAGAAAAGCAGCTTCCACAATGAAAAATGTAACTGCTATTCAAAGCCATCATTCAAAGCACTGCAATAAAATTAAATCTTTCTTTTGTATATGGTCAGAGATGATGCAACAATACCCTGTAATTCCACAGCTGCAGATTTTCCACAGAATTCACTTCTTACATGACAAATGGATTCTTTCATTAAGAAAAGAAAAAAGTCATTTAAAAGGACAAAAAAACCCCACCAAAACACCTGTCCCTTCCCTACAAGCTTAAGCAATAAACTCTGACAGGTGTGACTTGTTCTACTCATCTCAATCAAAGGCACTCAAAGGCTTCATTATTACACAGCTGTGTACATTTTGTCCTTTTTCCAAGAAGCTGGAATTTGTTATTTTCCAGCAGGTTTAAAAAAAAAAAAAAACAAAAAAACCAAAACACTAATTTTGAAGCACTATACTCCTGCACTATGCTTTGCATGCTTTCCCCAACAGACCCTGCAGGACCTCTGTGAGCAGGGGATCATCCTGCCTGGAGAAACAGAGATAGACAGATAAACAGATATAAATATATAGATACAGATGATATCAATACTGCTTTCACTGACAGCTCTGACTTTGACAGCCACCAAACACTAAGGTTAAACTCTGCAGTGAGGTGCAGAGCCCTGTCACCTCTAACACCTTCAAAGACACTGGAATAACAGCAAGGCACAGCCACACTGTGTCTGAGCAATATCCCAGCCTTATCTATAATGCATGGACTCCATTTTCTCACTCAGAATACTGAAGGAACTAGCTCAACATTTTTTAAGGTTTCTTTTCTAAGCATGCCAAGACATTTAACCTCTAAGAGCATCTTTTGATGACCAATGTATTAATGCATATTATATTTTAGTGAGAATTGTAGCAGCTCTTCAAAGTTCCAATATATGTACTACATTTGTTGATCTGAAGGGTTTTTTAGCAGAATTCAAGACTGCATTCAAGACTAAATTACTTGGAACCCTACATTAATAATTCATGTAGCTTTAATAAATTTTTTAAGTACATTAAAATAATCTCATGCTTTTTTATGTTTTTAGCAGTGCTCCTGAATTATTTTTACTTTTCCTTAGCCCTAGTACCCACTTGTTAAAGAAAACATCAGAATAGTGGGGGTTTGTTGGTTTATAAGGTAGTGTTGTCAGTAATGACTACAACAGCAGGAAGCTCTAGTAAAACCAGAAGGCAGACAGAAAAGAATGTGACCTGATGGGATACAGAAGGTTTGTAGCAGCTGGGAGGTAAGCTGGGGAAGAGCAGTTGTCAAAAAAACAGAGATGAGATCAGAGAAACAGCTGTTCAAGAGCAGAGAGGCAGGAAATAAAACTTGCAACAGTGAAACTTGAATAGGGGAAGATCAACACACAGAGATTAGAGGTTTGGGGATTTTTTCAAAACTGGAAAACCAGGAAATATATCTGGTGAGAAAATGGAGACTATGGATGAGATAGAATAATAAAGAGCTTAGATCCAAAGGAAAATGTTTTAAGAATCAGTAACTACTGAAAGTTTCTGATCACAGTAAGAGATGCTGGTACCTCAACCACTTTCTTAACAGAACAATGTTTTTAATTAGTATTCTACACTGCAGGAGTTAAATGAAAGAAAAGCTACAGCATCCTGGGGCTACATATACTTCCAGATGCTGCCTGTAGTAATTCCACACCGGGTAACTTCATTTAACATTAGTCAGTGCTCTTGTGACAGTGCTGCACCAGCCCAGAGGTGCTCACCTGGGCTGGGAGCTGTGAGGGTCCTTGGCCATGTCTTGTCCAGCACTGAGCTGCTCCTGGCAGCCAGGAACACACTGGAAGCACAAGGGCAGCACTGGCTGCACCAGCTTACCCAGCACCAGGGCAAAGGGAGACAGAAGGACTCTGAGCACACAGGGAGAAGGGAAACTGAAGTAAAAACACTTAATTAAAGCAACACTTATTGGTTGGCTATGAAGGGCCCCAAGAAAATTTCCTTTTTGAAGTTTTTATTTCCTTATTTCTGAAGGAAGTTACTTCTGTTTGCCAAAAATTATTCTTAAGACTTGAAAAACACTTAGACCCAGAATTTGAAAATTGAAAAAAAATCTGTAATTAATAGGTGCAATATTCTACAGCCTTTTTTGTTTGTTCTGGTTTTTAAGGGTTGTTTGTGGTTGGGGTTTTTTGGTTTTTTTTTTTTTTTTGCAAGAACAGTCACAAAACTGATCCCATCAAATGTAAAAATTGTTTTTCCAAATTGGAAACACAATTAAAGCAGACTTCCTACTGGCATAACCTTATCTTCACTTAAGCCAATGTACATCAGTCTGAAATGACACTTGGACATGCACAGCAATAATGAACAGCAATCCTGAACATCATGTTCAGGTGACAAGATAAATTAAACACAGAGATCAAGCTACTATATCAGTCTTCTTCAGAAATATTAATTTTGTTAGTCACTTCAATTTACAGCATTGTCAGTAGCAACATTTCTACTTTTATTCTATCCTGCAACTTGATAAGGAAAGGAAATAGGAATAGAGCTCAAATGTCACAATAGGAAGTAGAGTTCTTTCTTTCGAAGTGGCATTGTCCCACTTCTTTCTTTAAACGTGGCATCCCACATGGGAAAAGTGCATAGCTGAAGTGTTAGCATCCCTGATTAGAATAACTATTTTACTTGCTTTATTAATATTATTCTTATTGGTATAGTAAATCTCAGCTCTTACTTCTTGTTCAGCTTGTGGCCTGCAATGACATACACACAGATTGCTCCAAGAGCGTTATCTGCTCCTGTATTCCCATTACTGACCCTTCCTACTTAAAGGAAAACCCCAGTATTTTGAGTTTCCACAGTTTGATTATAGGTCACTCATGATATTCTCTATCATTTTGATAGAGTACCATTTTGCATACAATTACTTGCTCTCCTGACACTGTATCCAGTCTAATTCTGCTATCTTGCTTATGAGTGTTGTATTAGAAGCATCAAGATATTTAAAAATATATAAAAACGATTCCTTTTCCCTAAAGGCAAGGCCTGCCATACCACAAAAGGAATTTTTTATAAATCTATTGACTCATATTCTGTCAGGAAAAATCATTTCAAGAGTAGTGTATGTGCTAAAAACTCACTCCATGTGTACACACAAGAAATCACATTATCAGACACAGCCTACAATATACAAGTATTATTTGAATGATGCTTTGAACAAAGAAATTCCGTTTTATACTGCTGGGTAGGCAGGAGTGGGAGGTGGGTGGTGGTGGAAAAACAATACTCCTGACTCTTTCAAGATGCATAATATCTGTTATTCATTTTGAAGGTAAAAGTGCAGATAATGCAATGGGTTTATATGCTGTAGAAGTGATCTCCCGCTGCTTGATCTGAAACTGGTTGATGGTATCATACACTAAGTTTTCTTGCAGTTCACTGTTCTCCAAACGTGTGGAAACCCCAAACCTTCAATTTCCAAAGCATTTTTCAATGGGGTTAATGTAAAATTCACTTGAGCATCCCTCTATTGACAGTTACTGCCAATAAAATGCTAATTTTCAGATGTAAAAGTAACTTAAAGTCTCATATCTTCAATTTTTTCCACTCAAATAGCTCAACCAGAAAGCAACTTTGCCAATCTTTATGACACATAAAACTCATCTACATTTGCAGTTTCTTGGTCATCTGGAAATTCAGGTGAGAACAGCTGCAAAAAGAAGGTGGCTGCTGGTTTGTTGAATGATTTCATGAGCATGGAACGGCATTTCAGTATAAGTTTACCTCATTTTTAATTTTAATGTGTTTTCTTTGTGTATGCAAACACTTACAGTCATTTGCACAGACTAAAATGTTTATTTAAAGTCTCTATTCTCCACCGCAGAAATATTGCAGAGCATGATTGTAATTAACTTAATCACCACTGTTCCATACACCTACCTTTTGTGGTTTAAAGGTCAAGAAGCATTTCACAGACGACATTTCCTTTAAGTAAACTGAATACAAATAGGGCTTTGAACGAGAATGGTCAACCACTGCCAAACAAAATTCAGAATCAAATTACAGATGCTATTGCATGAAACAGCAACTTTATAATCGCTGCAGTATTTCAAAGTGATTTCCAGTATCAACTATCTACATATTTGCATGGGAAGCACTTCTAACAAATTTACAGTGGAATATAGTATCTCCCATAAGGATTCTGAAGGTAATTTTGGGCAGTATTATTCACCAGCAATTTTCATGGAAGTTATTAATTTGGAAAAACACGATATTTCAGACAAAAAAAAACCCCGAAACAACATTGTCCTTTACTTTTGAATAAAAAGTGTTAAGCTAAAATAATTAATTACATAATAAATTAATACCACAGAGATAAAAATAGTTGGCTGAAACTTGTTTTGTTTAAATTACTTTTAGGCATAATCTACATTTCCAATAAGGCTTGCTTCATTTCTCAGATTTCCATGTTCAATTTTAAGGTACTGGCAGAAGAACAGGTTTCCAGGAAAGGTAATATTCCTCCAAAATCAGTATCCATCATGGAACACCATCCATGGAATATTCATCCAGTATTCACCATTTCAGTACTGAACCTGACTGGATGCCACAGGATGGGTTTCAAGCACAAACTCTGATCCAAAGATCATGTGCAATGAGTCTGATCCCACGCTGGCTGCTTGCCTGTTGTAAAGAGCCTTACACTTCTTTTGCAAGATGACTGACTAGGAGCCCCCACCTTCCCTTCCCTTTTAAGTGTACCACATGGTAAGAAAACCCTCCTAATCTTGGGAGATCATTTTTTTGCATCATCCACATATAGTTCAACGTTAAAATACACCTAAATTTTATAATGCTGTCTTGCAAAAGAAAGAATCTTGATTTCCTAAGTTTGCAGCTTTGCTTATAAGGCCTCTTTTCCCTGCAAAATTCTCTAGTGAATAATGATGGTGGAAGATCCTAGGAGATGCCATGACTGAAGTAGTAAAGCCATGAGCAACTATGTGCTGGATAAGACTCTGCACTAGTTCTACCAAACAAAAAAGAATTTAATTCCACTACTGCCCCAATAACTTCCTGAGCTGAGCATTCATGCAGAACAGAAGCCCTGTCATCAACCTGCAGATATTGTTCCTTCGGGAAAAAGAAAAGCCTGAACCCTTAAAACGGTGATGAAATAATCAAACGGTAAACATTGTCAAAAAGTGGGTATGAGTCCATAAATAGGAAATTAATACAATTGTTTGGCTTTTTTAATATTTTATTTTCACTAGTGAGAGGGTATTCAATTTTTTTATTCTGCCTTAGCAACTATGGGAGGAAAAAATGGGTGAAAAATCTACGGGCAACTTGACATTTTGCAAATATTTATTTTTGTCAAATGTCATAGGCAAACCAAAAAGTCTCCTCTTAATTTATATTAAGCAACACTTTTCAAATAATTGCTTTAAGTTTTGTTATATCAGAAAATTTGGCTACCAGGAATGGTCTGACAGATTTTCTCTCAGAATTATTCATTCTTTGTTTAATGAAAATTCTGATGTAGCAAAAGCAAATACCTGAATTGTCCTCAGTTTTCAATTTAAATTCCTTATACTTAGAAAAATCAAACTCTGCTCTGGTACACGATTGTCCTTTGTTCTGGAGCAAAAATGGAATGGATTTTGTAGTGCCAACATTAATACGTTTATATTCAAATATTTTCTGTAAGTTTAAAGAAGAAAAATGGGTCAAACCATTGTGAAGTCAAGTTTATAATCGAACATAATAAGAAAAAACACAGTTGTGCAAGTTTCACAACTTATAACATAATAGCAGTATTGGTTAATCAATAATCTCACATAAACCTTATCTTTAAAATCTTTTCAGGACACAAAATAGAAGAGTTTAGAATTTAATATCAAGTTCAGTTACACCATCACAAAAGTTTTCATCATTCAGATCAGCAAACAGATCAGTGACTTTCTTTTCCCTTTATTGTATTTTTTGCAATAATTACCTTAAGAAATCCTCTCCCTTTTAACATACTTATTCCAGATTGTCAAGTTCAAAAACTGAAGCTGTCAGCTCTCATTTAGTGTAACTGTTATATGTACATTTGGATTTTAATATATCTTCCCAAGTTCGTCTCTTTGATAATTTTTTTGGGTAGTTAGTTTAGGAAGAAATGAAAAAAATGAAGTAGAGAGGAGCCACTTTGACTCTAGATTAAGCAAAATACTTAACCCATCTTACCAATTGCTACGATTTCTTCACACTTACCACATCAATGTCTATTTCAGCGATCTCTGAAAATCCAGTAATCCTAAGTGTGAGTTCTGCTGCATTCCTCACTGCTACCTAAGTGAAGGGACAACATTGGGATTGTGGACAAGGTCATTTCAACATAACAATCTCACCAAATCTGTCATAATTATATGAAAAAAAGTTTAACACAAAAGAAACAACCCAATCCTATCCCACAGATAGAAAAAATTGCACTGAAAATAGGAAAATAACTCTGCCGTCATAATATAATGCATTTTTGCTGCAGAAATATGAAGAGATAACGTAAATGCCTTCATTTTCTAGGACATATATATACAGATTCCAGTGACAAGTAGCTTCAAATCATGCATTTGTGGCATAGCATATCTGGGACAGATATAGCTGTTAATTAAAAATAAAGAACAAAACTAAAAACAAACAAACAAACATAAAAACCACAACCCAAAGTTGTAAGAAAGACCATTGACCAGTCTTTCCCGATTCTACAGGCAAAAATAATATTGCAGGAGGCTGTGTTTCTAGAATGAGCAGTTTTTTCCAACAGGAGAAATCTCTGTTCAGCAGCTATGGGGACTGGAACACACACTGATTGACAGAGGTACAAGGTAGATGCTGTTGTTCTGGGGAATATTATATCTGTTGTAAAAATGGAAAAAATAAATGAATACTAGGTTTAACAAGCATAATATAAACACCCCCAGAAGATGGTGAATCCAGGATCAGTCAGAAATGGTAGTAAAGTTCAGACCCTTTTCTCCCAGTCTCACTTATCTCATGAAGCAGGCATAGATAAAACAAATTATGTTACATGTTTATTGATACCTACTATCACAGCAAATCTACTACTAGAGCCATCTCTGAGAAAACCACAAAAAGTCAAGAAATTAAAAACATTAGAGTATTACAATCCTGCCTCACTATAGATTACAGAAAGTGCAGGTATGTCTCTACATTATCTCTTGAAGATCAATCACACATTACTTCCAACATCTTGTCAGTGGTAAAATATAATCAGCTCAAACTGAGAGGCTGCTTTGATACTTCTGAGCAGGGCTGAGACAAAAAAAAAAAACAGCAGAATAGGTTACAGCAGTAACGATCTGCTGCAAGAAAACCTTATTCTTAAAAAGCATTAGAACACTGGAAATAAAATCCAAAAGATGCATGAACATACACACACAAGCACACAGGATAACACCCAAAACGATAAAGTTCTTCTAGTTTTGAAATACCTCCACTTTTTTATCAAAATTCATGTATGACTTTGGAGTGAAGGAGATTTTGAGATCAGCAATGCCTCCCACGGGTATCACTCCTTCAGAGGGGGTGATTTTCATTCCAGGCAGTGGGTTTGAGTCAAGAACCTTCACAAACACAAACAAGAAACATACTGAAATAGGTGTTTGCATTTCTTCGTTTTGGTTGTTGCTATTTTGTTCATACCAATATATCTATCATAAAGATTTTATATTTTTACAAGGAGAACCTTCATAGCACATAATGCTAACTTGGACATAGAAGTTTGGGGAAAAATGCAAGAAAATAAAGTAACAGAAACATAAGTGTCAGTTTCTACTATGAAATAATTTTTGCCACCAATTGGAAACTTGGAGTTCTGAGTTTTGGGTTATTTTCATTAAGTTATCAAAATTAAGACTATCTATGTAGCAAGTCTTCAAAATATTCCTTAAAACATTTTTTTCAGTGACAAATAAATTCATCACTTCTTTTTTGACATTCACAGTAAGATGGGACACAGAACCCCAATTCTGTATAGCTCAGTAATAATACTAGAAGTAAATACTCAGTTTACCCACAGTTAGCAAAGACAAAAAGGAATTTGTTCTCTTCTAATGCACTCTTAACATAGCTTTTTAAAGTATAGCTACACAAGTGATAGTGACCAAGACCAACCAGCTATGTCTTGGCTTGGCTAAGAGTAATTCTGGAAGCTAAAAAGGCTCGGTATGTTTGTTTGTATTACTGGCTATGCTGATTTTATTCTTTCAGTCCCAGCCTACAAGACTATGATACTACTTGCTTTCAATGCTCAGCTGATGAAAGAGAAATCTGGTACAAATCAAAATGAACATGTTTCTCAGTATTGTAATAATGCAATAATAAAAACTCTGAGGATTTTAATAAAAATTATTTTCCTTCACTAATTACAGCAATTATCCTGTGATCAGCAAAACTAATGAGGTTAGGTTTCCTACTAATTTGTGTATTATGTCTTTACCCACTCTGGCATCCATCCCATCCCTTCAATTCATTGCACAGCCCCTCTGGCCCCTGGATGTTGGTTTAGCGAAGTCATCCCTGTGCTGTGACTGCTCTGGGTCCCTCCATGCACTGGAGGCATGAGTAGGATGACCAGCCAGTTTGCTCTGTCACTTAATGCAGGAAAACATCCCATAAATGCTTTTCCATAGACTATCCCAGAATGGGGTTCTACCCTCACCCTTGGCTCTCAGGAAAATGCTAGAATCATTTAGGCCATCACCACTTTGCTTGTCTTTTGTCCCATCTACCTATCAGTGCAAATTTGACAGAGGGACACATTTCTTATTTACATATTTTTTTTCTTCTCCAGAAAACATCACAAAAACAAATAAGTGCATATTTAATAACTGAAAACACAAAACCATAACATGATCTGGTATAATTAACTCCCTTCTGCACCCCAACCCAAGGAATTAAGTGTGCTAGAAATAATTTTCTCTTACTTGGAAGTATGCATGGTTGAATCCTGTGTTTAGAATACTGGCTGTCTTACAAGTAGTGAAACCAATTGGACTATGAGTGAAGGATACATTTTGAGCTATAAACTGAACTTTAGCAGTACCAAACTAATAAAAAAAGAGAAAGAGATAAAACAAGCAAAGCATGTAACATATTCCTAAGTACAAATAAATAATTCAGGCTATTTTTTTATTACATAATGAGCTAATAGAGTTGTGCAAATACATAAATTGGAAGTATTCAAATAGGAAAACACAGCTTAAGTGTGAGATTATTTACTCAATGTACTGAACTTATCTAGAGTCAAATTAAACAGACTCAACCGTACAGATATTTTTGGGCTAATTTCAAGACCAATAAAAATATTTTAATTAAATTTAATTTAACAGCACAAACTCCATTAACTCCAAATGTGTGATCAGGACAAGACATTTGGGAGATATTAATAGTAGTAGAAATGCAAATATTCTAATTTACACACATGCTGGTTTACATATGGCAAACTTCCAAGACTTCAAAAGAAGAGGAAGAAAAGAAAGATAGCTACTGGGAAAAAAAAAAACAAAAACGGGCTCATCAAAAGAGAGGGAAAAGTTTTCTTGGCTCCTAACAGAAGTTCTAGAACATGTAGCCAGTCATTTCAGAATAGAGTGAAAAAAAAAAAAAGTCTATCTTCTTCATATTGCCTGGCATTCAACGTAAGATAACAAATAACTAACCAAAGCTGAATGTCACTGTTTAGAAGACTACCCAGAACAGTGCTTCTCCAGTACCATATTTAAATAACACAAAATTAAATTAAGAGTCTAATGTTACCTTGAAACTCTGAAACATACCTTCCCACACACACCCCTAGATTTTTTTTCTTTTAATAAATAATATGTATCTAAAAAATTGTCGTATCACCTCTCAACCCCTTGTTTAGTCAAACGAGGCAAGCCAAGCACAGCTAATGCCCATAATATATAAGGACCAGTAAGCTGTGATACCAAAGGAAGAATATCATCAAAAGCAAGAAAAAGGTAAATTGTCTTTGCCTTGCTTCTCCATCATGTCTTTGGAGCATATTCTTTAGTTAAACTTGTCAAGTAAAAGCTATATGAAGTTAAAATATTTTAATACAAAAATAGATTATAACAGAAGTACATTTAAAGTATTACTTGTTCAAAGAAATCCACACATTTTTCTTCTCTAAAGCTGCCACATGAATTGTTACCTTTGCAGAACATTTCAAGTTAATTGGATTTCCTTTGCGCACACGCAAGATGAATTGTCCTGTTTCTGGAGTGTTGAACCCTGGATGCCAAATAACTTCACACTCCATATCACTATAGGCCTCCACAAACCCTGAATATATATACATAATTTACATGTTATAGCATACATCTTTGAAATCATATATTTGACAGGTACAACTGTCAAATTATATTGTATAATTAGAAATAACATAGGTACATAAAAGTGAAATGACTTTCTATTACTGAATGTAAGCCTACATTTCTTAGGTATTGAACAGTCTGATGAATTAAATAAAATTAGGTCTTGGATTCTCATGAGTATTGCATAATCTATGTATTAGTATCCTGTAGTAAAACACACTCAAAATTTACTGGTATTTTTAGCCATGAACTACTCTAATAAAAAACAAAAATAAAAGAACAGACTATCCTTCTTGCAGAATAGCAACTTGAGGAAAAGAGCATATACAGTTTTTTGCTTGCAATTGAGTCCGAATTTGTATTAGTAGACATATTTTTTCTCAAGAATCAGAGAACACTCAATCTAATATATTTAGCAGTGTGTTCTTTAATAATGGACTGCCAATATACGCCTGCAGAATACTACTTTTCAAAGAGAAGAAGGTAAAAGAAGGTCCCTTTTACACTGTAAGAAGTGTATACACATCTAACACTGACCCATGATGCAAATGTAGACTAATCTCAGACTGAACTCCATTTATGTTACTCAAACTTCATCAACTTTTTAGCAGCTTCATGCAGTGCTTTTGCAAAATTTCCTATCCTGATGAGCTATATGATGTTGCTGCCCCACTCTTGAAATGTCAGCAATCTGTGCTGAGAGAAATGTTTACACAAGCACTGCTGGCTGGGCATTGAAGCAGGGAGCTGGACTGAGCACGCATTCAGGGCAGGGCCTACACAGAGAATGCTGCTGTGGTGCTAAACTGTAACCTGATACTGCTTTTGGGACACATTGATATTGACAGAAATCTAAAAATACTGTTTATAGCATCAGCTGAATGTTTGTCATATTTAATACTGTTGACATATACATATACACATTGTATTTGCATAGCATACCTCTGGTTGGCTTTATAGTAAATGCAGATTTTCTATCTCCAGTTACAGATCTCCAAGTAAAGCCAGCAGGATGGTTTCTGGGATTGCATATTGTGACAGTTTTTCTAAACTCTGTCCCTGCTAGGCAGCCAGGAATAGGACTTAAAATCAGTTCCGTTGTAGACAGCTGAAGTTCAATAGGCATTGCATGTGCAATTACCAGCACATGTCCAATGTGTTGGTTGTTTATTTTGTAGATGAAAGAGCTGTAACATAAAAAAATATATATCTCAATATTTTTATGTATTTCTTATGTTACAGACAGAGTAAGATTTACATGAAATATAACCACTAGCAATAAAATACTTAACAACTGAGTGTGAACACACAGTTAAGACCGTCAAGAGAAAAGGTTGGCAGTTGTTCTGCATACTACTTTAAACAAATCATGCCAGAAGTGAAGATCATCCTAAAGGATGATCAGCCTCACACAGTCATTTTGACATTAGAAAACAGAGAGCTCATACCAGCAGGCTAGAGAACAGGTTTTTAATACATTTTCCCATGAGCTGCATCAAAAGACCTGAGCATGGATCCAAGTGATGCAATGCTAGGCTCAAAAGGGAGCAGTATTTTCCATATAAATTTCTCCTAGTAAATAGACCATAATAGCAAACTTTTTTCTCTGATGCACCTCTAGCTATAGAAGGCTTTTCACAGGACAGATTTTTGTTTGTGATTTTAAAAAAAAATAAGGAACAGTACTGGACTAGGTAAATTTTGCAACATAAAACTACATTGATTATTACAATGTCACCATAGATGAGCGTACACCATTGCAATTATCATGACTACACTTTAAAATCAGCCAGGTGATTTAAAAAAAAAATTTTACTACTGCCAAGAAAATGTGTAAATCAAGACAAATATAAAAAGGTCTTACGTTTTAAACATTCCAACAGTGGTTGTCTCAAACACAACTGGAATATAAGTTTTTGTCAGAGGAGGCACCACCTGAGACAACGGAGATGTCTCCTGCAATTCCGCAACTTCAATTTCAATTTGTATCCAAATATGAACTGACAAGTTATTGATGATGTGCAGTTCTTTGGTTGTTGTAGAATGCACACAAACATCACCAAAATCTATAGTAGAAGGACCTGAATTAAATAAGAAATAAGATTCTCAACATTAAAAGGTAAAAGCTAAAGTAAGGAAACATAACTACTAAAATTCTACGATCAAACGTTTTAATTCTTCAAATTACAAACTCAGCTACAAAAATCCTGTAGTGGAAGAAATTATCACTAAAATGTGGAAGTAAGTATCATCCATGTTCTGTGAATGTTTTCAGCAGTACAAGTCAAAAGCCAGCAACATTTATTTTTTAATTGTGCTTGTTTTAGTCAACTGGTAAAACAGGAAATGAATATGCACACTACTAACAGGACTATTAATAACCATAAATACTTCTTTTTGTTAAGCACATATTTAAAAGGACAAATTACCACCAATTCACTGAAAGCTTATGTATGCAACCCATTAGTTTGCTCCCTGATGTGTGACCATTTGGTTTAATAATTCGTGCCGTGTGATGGTCATAGAATTACTTCACTACCTAGTTTACCACTATCACTAGTTCTTAGGCTGGTCTATAAACTTGAGTGCACATGGCACCAACCAAACATCTTAAAAAGCCCTCAGCATTTATTGTACTATTATGTTTATCTTGTTCTGCCTTTCCTCAAGTATATCAGTTTACACAGTACACTATTCAAGTTCTGGCTTGACTGAAAATTTTAAAAAGCCCAGGAATTGACCTTAACCTAGACCTGTAGCATTAACAAATGTTATTAGTAAGTCACTAATAAGTTTTAGAAGGTGTTGTTCCCCATCACAGAACATTACCCTGAAATTATTTTGATGGAGGATCCTGAAGTTTTAGTTTTAGCTTTTGGAGGCATCAATCTTCTCTGTTAATTCCCAGAAACATTTTGAGCACTTCCATGAATCTTGCTGATATTAATGCTGGTCCAGGTACTATCCACTAACAAGGCCTAAGGCTATGAGCAACTCTCACACTAGGCTGTGATGATTTCCCTGTAAGAGGTTTTGGTATGAGCAGTCTTCCAAGGAAACTCTCTTTTACATGTTCATACCTAATCATATCTCAGTATTTGCTGAGAATTACAAAGCTTTAGTGAAACACTACTGTAGGTCTCAACTGCCTACCAAATTAAACTGTTTTCTATTTAGAGTGAACAAATATAATAGTAAATTGTGTCAATATACATAAGTGCTTTTACAAAAACTATGTGCATTTAGCAACCAAATTAAGAATCTTACCAATGAATATTTGATGAAGCTGCTTGTGTGTCAAAGTTAGACTACAATCTTCCTTCTCCTGGGTAGAAGATGGCATAGGACTAAGCCAGCTCCAAACCTGTGATAAGCACAAAACACTTCCTCAGAGCACAATCAAAATTTTTATGATTTTTTATATGGTAAACACATTATGCACACATACTACTCAAGCGTTTAACTTACTCCTTCATTTGTAGATTTAGAAACAATTGCTGCCAATTTTCGACTAGTTAATATGCAATTTTCATCTAAAGGAAGCATTTTGGGCTGTGGCTTCTTGAGAAAATCTGCGACTGAGATGTGTGGTGACTTAAGACCTTCAGCTGGTTTCATGCCTATGCTCACAGGATTGTTATAAAGATAAAACTGCCTAGAGGGAAGCAAAAAAAAAGAATGTGGAAATCTAAAAGTTTGAGCATTCCATGATCAACACATTAAATGATTTAATATTTTTAAACAAAACAGTATTTAAAGTAGGAATATTTCATTATTTAAAAAACCCTCAAGCACAGAAAATGCCTCAAAAATACTTTTACTGTTTTGGTTTTTACTGTAAAATAAGCCTAGAGGACCAGTGAGATTAAAGGATTGTATTTGCTTCAGTCCACAGAATATATAATAATTTACCTACTGAATCCATCACTTGGGATGAGTTAGACATCTAGCTGGAAATTCATATTTAATATATAAAGAGAATTTAAAACAATCAATGTTATGGTTTTTTCTTATTAACCATAGCCAAGTATTCTTAAAACTTGACACCTTAATTTAAATTCACTTTAATCTTAATTTCAAGTGCCCTGCGTCTATCCCTACATTTCACCCAGGAAATCTCTATGATCTCTATGTGTCTAAATACTTGAAACAAACAGGTTTTGAATGCATTATAACTGGAAGTCCCAAGATCATAAGCATATTGGCATGGGACAAATTTAGTGTGTGATCGGTGCCGTTAAGTTAATTCTGCACATATATTCACATATTTTGTGTATGAGCCTGAAGTATTTATTTACCCTTTAAACCAAGTCTTACCTAACAGCCTCTTTCTCTAAACGACGCTGTCTTAAACGGGAAATGAAGTCTACATAGTGTTTCTTATTTGCTTCTCTTAACAGTCGTTCAGAGTCAGTATAAGCAAATTCTGGGTCTACGTAATTATATCTCTCAGTCTTTGTGAAAATAGTCCTAAATATTTAAAAAGAATTGTAGTTTCATTACACATGTAGAATGATACTGGGTCTTGTTAGAATGAAAACGTAATTGATTTTGATACATATATATTTAATTCCAAACATTCTTTTTATCACAACTGATTATTAATATTTGACCTTGTAAAGGCAACCATAAAAATGAAATTCTTCAAGTGTAATAGCTACATTTGTAGTTTCACGCAAGAAAACTCAAAAAATTTATGTGCAAGAGATTCAAGAATGCAATGAATTTTAAAGTACTTTCAGCCTGGAAAAAAAAAAAAGCAAACTGTCATATGAGTAACCAATCTTGATCTACTATATGATATACATAAATGTGTGGGTTTAAATATTAGATTCACATATTTTTTACCTGTACTTTTTATTCCATTCACTAGGCCTAAGGCTGGCTGCACGATCATTAGGAAAAGCTATAAGTGCATCATCCTTACAATTCCTGTTTTTCCGGTGAGTATGAATTTGTGTTTGGGTTGATTTAAGGATTGCCACAGGTGCTGTATCACTGAGCTGTCCTGTGCCACGAACTACAAACTGTCCAGTTGCATTGGAAATCAAGGGTGTTAGACCTTAAAATTCAAAAACATAAACTTAAACTAACATTCTCTAAACAAAATTCAAAGTCTTAGAAAATATATCTAATTTACAATGGTCTACCCAGCAGCACACCAGTCACCCATCCCATACTGTTTTCCTCAGGTAAGAAGGAAGAAGCCATTCACATCATGCCAAGAGCCAACTGCTTCCCTTGGCCTGGATCACACAAACATCAGAGCTCAAACCAGCTGTGTCCAGCTGTGATGCTATGCCTTGCACACACACATCATCAGACACTCAGAGCTGCCTGTCACAAGACCAATCACAGCATCCTAAAGCTTGTCTTAAGGGCTGCAAACAGAGGCATGGGATTTTGACAAAACCTCTCAAGCTAGAACAACTAAAACGATAGCTCAGATCTTTTTCACTCTAGTTTTAGAAAAGCACATATACATGAACATTAAAGAGAAAACTATGGCAGAAACAAGGTCAAGCTTCAACTGCCCTTTCCTCCCTCACCTGCAAAAAAAAAAAAAAATCATTAAACATATTTTTTTACCCACTTTAGCCTGACTTTAAACGACCAACAAAAATCAAAAACTACTTTTTATCTTCTAAGTCACAGGAGTGATTACAACTTTCACTGGCCAGAAAGGCACAGTTTGCAAGAAGCTTCATTCCAGTCTCTCCTCTGCCTTCACCCGAATACAGAGACACAAGTACACATACTCATGCACTGGGAGAAGATAACAGGAAGATACAGAACCATCTGGAAAACGATCTGAAAAAAATAATAATTTTTCCTCCACACTTTAATGAAGCTTAAAAGCAAAACACAGATACCCCTCATAAAGTTTTTATAAACCTGCAAATGGGACCAGAAAAGGGACATTAATAGAGCAAATGGTAGACAAGAGCATGCAGAAAGCCTGAAAAACTTGAATCTTTGATCCAAAAAATCCACTTCTTCTAATTGGGTTTCTTAAGCAGGAAAACTGAAAGAGCTCTGGATTTCAAATATAAAACAAAGAAATTACCGAACTTCAGTTTCTCATCGAGTCTTGATAGCCATGGATTGGAAATACCTTCCTGGAAATAGCAGGAATGTCCACTGGCTTATCAACCTTACAGGTACTTACTTGTAGGAAGAACAGCATTTTATTATGACTTTCCAGTAACTTCCACTTCTTACTCCCCAACAATGGAAAAAAATGGGTATTGCCTTCCTGCTTCTCATCAGGGAGTACATCCTCTAACTGGCAGCAGCTAAAGAGAACTCAAGTTCCCCTCCTGACCCACACACAGGCACCAGAGGCTGAAGCACATTTGATGTTAGGAAAATAATCACATTTGCCATGACAGGTTTATAATCCAGCGACAGCTTAGTCAAATCTACTGCAAAGTGGTTGTTCATGGAAAACATTAGGAACACAAAGAACAAATTATAGGCTAATTATTGCATATCCTGAAAGACTCTTGATGCTGGCACAGGCTGTACAGGATTGGAAGAGTCAGTGGACACAGGACTGGCAGCAAGCTGTATGAACTGGCAAATTCATCTGGCAGTAGTAACTTGGAATCAATAAAGAACATCCTGTTATCTTTCCTAGTTCTTCCTGTGCTTTACATATCTCTCAACTTATTCCTGAAACATCTTAGCAATGTGTAGCAGCATCACTTGCAGAAACTGAACCTTATAAAAGTCAGATAATCATATGATGAAAATCTATGCTTTAATAGTTCAATTTTTGATACAATTATGAGAGGTGTACCATTATTTTAGCCTTTGTTTTGCAGTCTTGTGGGACATATGTCATACAACTAAGCATTCCCTCCAGTCCCAAAGAGATATTACTTTTTATAAGCAAATTGAAAATAGCAAATAAAAAAATCTCTTTTAAAAGGCTAAAAAAGTGCTTTTAAAACTTGTTACTTAGTTTTTAGCATCTTACCTGGATTAATTGTGAATACAATGCTTTTTTGTTTGGACTTGCACACACCAAGTAAGGTCAAATATATTTGATGAAAGGATTTTCTAGATATCTTCAAAACATTTACATTATTTTTATCTACTACTGTACCAATGATATCAATAATTTGCTTCATCTCAAATGTTCCTAATTGACGTGGAGAAAATGAAATCATCACTTCCTGAAAAAGAAAACTCATTATGAGACATATGAGACAATAAAGAGTCAAGTTTTGTAAAATTCTCTAAATGATTGAGTCCCTGAGTCACTTCTTTCCACATTTACTTCTAAGACAGATATTCAAAACTGGGCTTGCAGAATATGCCAAGAGGCATATAAACATTAGCAATATAAGGTAACATAAAAATGTGACACATTAGAACACAACAAAGTCTCATTCGTTCACTTCTGTGAGGTATCTTGTGCCCTGGCTGGCTGGTTTGGGAAATTGTAAATGTTTCCATATTTGACTTATTATTGGGCAAATTTCTTCCATTAAAGAAATTTTATCTTACTTAAATTTTTGTGATTTACTGAAATAAATTTTAAAGTATCCTTCAAAAATGTTTGAGCATAAATCACTATTCTCAAATCAGTAAAATAAAAAAAAATTACAGATAGGTAAAACTCTTGTAAAAGTTGCCTTAGTACTACAATCTTTTCTCCTAATTTAAAATAATATTTGCTGCTTCTTGGAGTAGTGAAATAACATTAAGAGACTGTACAAAATAAAAAAAAATATGTTTGGCTGATATTAAAATCTATTGCTACTGAAATGAAATTCCTCTGGTTTACTTTCAAGAAATTCCACTGCTAATCACTGTAAAATAATCTGCACAGGTGCATAACCTAAGAGAAAGAGAGAGTTACCTTTTCAGATTTTTTTTTAATTTTTCCTCTTTCAGGAGAAACACTGAAGTGAGCAGTCTTGCGGAAGCTGAAAGTTACTGGAAGAAACTTGGATTCATTTTTCATTGTGCACACAACTTGTGCTTGTTCACCCAAATAACAGTCCTCAAAATTAATTACTGTTCCTGGCTTAAAAGTTAATACCACAGGAAACCCAGAACCCATCAACGCTAAGTCCACATGACGAGAATTACTTCCTGCATTGGACAAACACAAAAACAAGCAAACAAACAAAATCCCTCTCACATCTATTATCCCACTAACAGGAAAGTCATGCTGTAGTTGTACAGTCCCAAAAACAAAACAATACAAAAATCAGTATGTTTTATAATGCAGTTTTATAAAGCTAACACAGAGACCTTTTAATAGGTGTTAGATGCATTCCTTCAGTAAGGAAGTTGAAGAAGATCAAACATGCACATGAAAATGCACAAAACATATTCAAAAAGTGTTAGTGACTTGCAAATACTTGCATTTATAATCATTATAATTTATAATTAAGTGATAGGTGTTCATTCATGACACACATAAATCCCTCCTTTCTACTCTCTCACTGTTCAAAAAGCTTCTAGTAATGAAGCATTCAAGATGAAAATTATTTGTGTTGATATAAACAAACAAACAAAAATAGCAGATTTACCATAAAGCTATTAAAACAAGCAATATTTTTTTTAAAGTTTAAAAAGATCAAGATATACAATTTTATCATCCATACATACATTTCTGATACATTTATATACATTTCTAACATACTTGTGGTTGCTGTGGCACCACCATTGAAGTTCTGCAGACAGCCACCTCTCTTTCCAACAGTTTCAAATCTCAGAAATAGGACATAATCTTGAATCAGTGATTTGTCATTGACTTCAAAGTCTCTTTCAAATTTTCTGTAAGAGTCACAATCTCGAATTAAAAGATGGAGGGGAAAAAAATAAACCTCCAAACACAACCCACAAAAAATGATATATTTGAACAACCTTCTTTGGCTTCTTTGTTGCCAGTAACAGCTTGAACAAATTATCTTTGTACTTCCTTTCAGAAAATTCAAATAGTAACAAATTTAAGCTCAATATCTGTGTGTAATTTGATACCTTTTCCAGTCTACAACAATTTTCTAAACTTATATCACATGCATAAAAACTACCTGTATTGACTTTCAATAAGGGAAAATGGCAAGAGTACATTTGCTTTTTCTTTCCCTTATCCAAGAAGAAATGCTTCTTTATGTTTAGTTTTTGCTTTTGTTTTGGGTTATTTTTTCTTTAATGAGATGACAGCTCTCTGAAATGTTTCACTCTCGTGGTGGTTAATATATGGAAAAATCTAGTGAAATTTCTCTTCTCACAAAACCATCTTAACCAACTCTTGGTCCAAATACACCCTTAGGTATTATTAAACATAAAATCATAGGAACACTTCAGGCTTTGCTTTCTTATTTGCAGAATCACATCGAGAAATTTCTTTTAACACATATAATAAATACATAAAAAGTTATTCAGAAATAATTTGCAGATGTATTAACTCAAAATTATTGTCTCTAACACAGCTCTTGCAGAACAATGCAGACTAACCAACTTGTGTGTGTGAGCATGTGTATGCATTTAATTGGTATCACTCACCGTGGACTAAAGCAGAGTGTTATCAAAGTTTTGTCATAAGGAAGCAAAGTTCCTTGATTGGGAGTGCACAAGACCAAGGTGGAAATATCTATATCTTTATTTTTCAGGCTTAAGTTGTGTAAAACAGCATCTGTACTCCCCTGAAGATCTGTCCCCTAAAAATAAAAAAAAATTCAAAATATGGAGTAGTTCAGCTTGTTCTGCTTTCTCTTTTGTGTTTTGTTTTTTTCCTACACGTACATTTTCATGTACAACAAATAGACAGAGGAAGTAGCAGTCACATAGTTACACAGCACTTGCCTAATTAACCAATCTTTAAATCAATTTCATGTCAATGTCTTGAATTCTCTTTCTTTAAACATGATTCTCAGATTATTTCACTATCTGAGAAAAACAAGTGAAACCACAGATTATTAATATCTTAGAATTCAAATTGTATTTTGATAATTCCTACTAAATATTAATTGAAAACCTCAGTTCTAGGGTTGAATTGAAATAAAAAATGTTATGGTTGGACAGAGGCTTCAGAAAGCCTATTGATCAGGAAATACTATGACATAGTAAACAATATCAGAAGATGAATGTTGAGAAATAAAAAACACAAAAGCAGAAATGAGAACAAGTTTTCAACTGAAATAAAACCAGAGCATTACCATCTCTTCTCCAATGGCATTTTCTTCCAGTACTGCTACCCAATCCATACACTCAGGGCTTTCATTGTATAAATGTATTTGTTCTGTCTTTGAAGTCCCAAAGTAAAGAGGTCCAAAGTTAATGCATTTCAGTACTTTTCCACAGGACACTCCAAGAACTTTAAGAACTTGTTCAACCACAACACCTTTGATCCATACTTCAGTCCAGCCACGATTTTCCAACTCCACTCTGCCAGCAAGAGCAGCAAGCAGCAACAAGTAATGCAGAGAAGAGTTAGAAATAATCAGTTTGGTTAGTTTGCTTTGTATTAGAATCTGTGTCAAAATAAAAATTACCCAATCCAAGCATTCAAATTACTGGCTTTCCATATATAAACCAAGTGGGAGAGCAGGGCAAGTGAGCATGCCCCTGACAATGCCCTAATAGGAATATCACCAATCAGGAAAAATCACACATTACATGGTGGAGTTTTGGGTTTGGTTTGGTTTGTTTTCTAACTTTTTTAAATGTTTGAAACTATAGGAATAACATCTGCAAAGAATCAGGAGGTGTCCACAGACAATAAATACACAGTGCTCTTATCCCTCAGGGTCTTTGCATTTAAATACCAATTTTAGCTTATAACAAGTAATTTTGTTGTAGGGAACCGGAGCTAGAACTGAAAGAACTGCAGCTATTCCAGCCTGGAAGCTCCATCTTGACAAATCGACAAATCACCAAAACAAAACACCCAGCAAATCAACCACACCCTATTCCCACATTGACCAGAGAGGTTGTGGATTCCCCAGCACTGGAAGTGTTCAGGAACAGATGGATGGGGCTCTGAGCAACCTGGTCTGGTGGAAAGTCCCTGCCCATGGCAGCAGGGCTGGAAATACAGGATTTTAAAGTCCCTTCCAAGCCAAATCATGCTAGGATTCTATCAATAAGGTATGCATTTAAAAGCCATCTACTCCAGTGCTGCAAATACATTCCCTCTAGTGAAAATAAGATACACCAAAGAACACAAGAATGTTTCTGAGACTCCTGAAACACACAGAGTTAAAAGAAAATATGCAGTTACAGAAGCTAAGAAAATTAAGGAACATGGGATGTGCAGAAAGGTGAAAGATACAAAAGCTCCTGGTTAGTTTTATTCTGAGAAATGTGCAAACATCCCAGACCATTACAAATTATGAAAGATTTTTATTAACACAGCCAGGTATAGAATTTATGCATTACTTTTCTGTGGAGATAATATAACAATGAAATTAATAAAATTAAATATTAAAGACAGTAACTGACACTTAGGAATTTAACTTTTTTTAGATAAACATTCATAATAAAGACTAGAATTAATAACAGACAAAAATGGAATTTATAGAGCTGTATTTCTTCAGTCATACACTCACTTGATCATTTCTTTGATGACTCCGGGTACATCTGTGCAGATATCCACTCCAATTTTCCTTACAGATTTTGGTTTTACTACTCCTCTGGCAGGTTTTATGTGAAGCAAGACTACCCCATCATATGATATTCTAAATATACCTAAAAAACCCAAAGCAATCAACAGAATGCTATACAATATAAAGCTGTAGATTTATATGCTTCTATTATACATTTGAAATTACACAACACATAATGTAGATGTTCACAAGCCATCTATCTCCCTATGGAAACAGGAAACATAGGGTTAACCTTTTCACAAGTTATTTCTAAGCAAGAGCAGATCATTATTTCCAAGCTCACTTTAATTATTACACCTACATGTACAATTCCATTTTGCAAACTGTGATTGTAACAGGAAAGGTACTCGCATTCCAAACACAAGTGACTATATCACGAAGTAACTGCAAATAACATCTGCAAGTTATACAAAGCTCTAAGAAACTACAGTAGCCAGAAAGTTAAGTGCATACTGCAGGGTAACAACAGATTCTATGATTTGGTCAGTACCCAACACAAGTCACTGCAGAAGAGAACAGTAAATATTTCTAGGTTATAAAAATATTCTTTAAAATGTGACAAAACCCAGTACTTAACCAACAACGTTAATTATCTACCATTATACCATAGACACAGAAATTGTTTCAAATGTACAAAAAATGCACTTTTTGGTTTCATATAAAAGATAATCTCTGATATGAGATCAGAAGCAGGAACAAAGGACTCATTTAGTGCATAGAACGACAGGTGAAATGCAATCCTTGTGTCTTGGGCCAGCACAGAGCACTTCCTGCTCACAGAGTTTATATGCTGCCTGTTATGGGACGTGCTGTGTTGTGATTTACAGAGGCTACAGAAACACAGATTCAGCTGCTCTTCCCTTGTCTGTCCCCAAGACATCCTTCACTAACCATCACCTTTTTTCTTTCATCCAATCCTATACAACTCCACCATGCAGCCTGCATGTATCATGCATAGAGTTTATAACTAGAAACGGTTCCCTACACAACATTAAAAAAATAATTATCATACAACTTACTTGTAGATGCATATATACTGTAGGTTAACTTGTTTTCTTTACCTAATCATAATTGGTCAAAATATTAAGTTAACATCTATGAGAAAGACCTGATTATATAAACTGCACACTACATCTTTAAGATGAACTGAGTAGGAAAAACACCCACAATAATTTCTCCTTTTACTTCATGGGAAAAAAATAAAAATTAAAAGGTCTGCTTCATCTAGATAGAAAATTGATTTTTTTTTAATTATTACAAATCTGTGTTTCTGTAATAATGTATTTTCTCTTCGTACAATATTTAATATGAAAATCTAGGAGACAAATGTTCCCAAATGTTGCCCTAATGCAAAAAAAAATGTAAACAGCAGCTGTACAAATGAGGAACAAAAATAACTAACTGCCTTAAATTTGTTGTTTGAAACTCGGCATAGTTGCCACCCTGCCTCTGGAGAAAGGTGTCTGCAACTTTGTGCAGTGCAAAAGGAAGTCAAACAGATTATTTGGATCATAAAAGCATTCTTATGCTCCTTTGTCCATGTTTCTTACTCTCCTTGGAATAGCTGCTTTCAGAAATTTAAGGATGTGCCTGTTGTAAAAACTGTAGGATTTCAAAAACTATGGCAGCAAGATTAAAGGCCTCTCATTATCTTCTAGCAACAAACACAATTCAATTCCCATCACAGAGGACTTTAGCTCAGAAAGTTCAAGGAACTTGTAGTTGTTTATTCAAGAGCAGAAATGATTTGCTGCTGTCTATGCTGGGCACACTAAGGCAATGAGCAGCTATTATTTTTACAGCTTCCAAATGGGACTCAAAAGTAGAGAACTCATAAAATTTTCCAAAGTTCTGAAGTATTTTTTTCTTTCCTAAATGGAAATATAGTACTGGCTATATAAACAGTGGGCCATATACATTTGAAGCTACAATACTCAGAAACTGCATAACCCAAAATTCCAGTTAATTGCTACTTGGTCACTGAAGTGTTAACTTGCATAGAATTACTTTTTCCAATAAAATAAAATTATTAAATGATTTTATGATTTAATGCATACTAAATATTTACCTGAAGTTGTTCCACGGTTAGCAATACTAATCTCTTTAGTAACTAGTTTATTGTTTGCAATCATTTCACCAAAATTAACCTCTGACTCTATTTCCAGATCACAGTATGGAATTAATCTGCAGAGAAAACACAACATAGCATTTCCCAAAACTTGAAAATACCTTTGCATTTTAAAAGCAATTTGATTAAGCACTCCAGTGGAGGGGAGTTCTTTTGTCAACTCACTCCAGCACTACAGCATACACAGGAAAGATTCAAGAGAAGTACTCATCTATCAGCCTGTTTAATAACTCAGTAGTCTAACTTTCAAACAATATAGCTATAAAGGATTAGTCAAAATTGAATGCACACATTTCTATTTCATTTTAAATACTTCATTACAGTACTTTAAGTAAAACTAACCCAAGTTAGTTGCATCACAAAATCAGACCAAATAATTCACCATAATTCATTATGAGCTGCCTGAACTAAAAGAAGAGAATTAATGCCAGTTTACAGTTTTGTGTTTGAGACATACTTTATGTGACTTCAACAAAACTTTCTATAACAGATATTAGTGGATAATGATATATGCCATGAGCTACTTCTATTATTTATTTAAGAACCTCAGTGAGATGGCATGACTGTATTGGGTACTTTTCAGCCAAAATGAAAAGATGAAGGAAACTTGTATTTTAAAGACTCCAAATTTTAATACAATGACACCTCTGGTCTCACACAAAACTATGGTTCAAATCAACTGAAATTTTACATCAGCACAGAAGTCTATCTCCTCTTAGCCATGAACAGGAACATGCAGGAACAATTCCATCTGTGTCACATGCAGTACAGAAGAAATAATGGGAAAGAAAAATAAATATCCTTGGTCTAGTGAGGTAGATCCTGCCCAAATACTCTACTGAATAAAGAGGAGAGAAGGGGGAAGGAAGGGACAGAGGCAAAAAGCTGAATCAAAGAAAGCAACAAATTTTATGTCAGGAATTTTAATACAGTGGTTTTAATCCTCTGTGATAATTTCTTGCAATGTGAAAAAATAACAAAGTAAATTCTTTAAAGAGATGCTAGACTAACAGGATGTGGCAAAAAAAATCAAAAAACAAAAAAGAAAAAAAAAAGGAATCATGTAATAGATGAGTTAGAAGTTAGAGTACACACAAAACAATGTAAAAATGTTACTTTCTAAGTATCCAGACATTCTTACAAGAAGCTTTGCTGGAAAAATTAAACAAAAGTATTTCTCCTCTAAAGATGCAAATATCTTCCTTCCCTAGTGGACAGAAATAAGCATACATCCTTCATGCAATCAAGATTTTCTAATAGATACATACTTGCAAAAAGGAGGTAGTCAAATTAAAAGGTTTAAGGTTAGTTTTTCAATACAGTGTGAGGTTAATTTGTTTGCTTTGGTTTGCTGGTTAGGGTTTTTTCATGAAGCTAGAATTTGCTGCTTTTGCATGGCACAAAATACATTTTGGAAAACACTGATTAAAATAAATCATAAATTGTACTTGTTTTTCCAAACATACAAAAAATTTATTAAAGCCTGTCAACATTTCCCCTGCAAAAGACACTTAAACATCAAGATATGAAATACTTAATCTATTGCAAGTCCCTTCCAGAAGGGAGTCACCAATAGCATCATCATCCTAAGTGGCTTTACCTTCACAATACCATTCTAATAAACATTTCCAAAAATCCTTGAACAATTGCTCTAAAACATGCACTTTATTTTTAGAATTAGGCAACATATGTTTCACTAGAATCCAGATTTGTTATGAACTGTTATGAACAATTACTGTTATGTAATAAACTATTATGAACAATTACTTAAAAATCTTCTATATCAGTGATTCACTACGAAGGGAAGACATTAGGAGTAGCTGTAGATTTGTCTAATAATACAGCATCCAAAATTATCAACATTATCACAACCAAGTTAGAATAAGGCAAAACTAAAAATCCAGACTCTCTGTGATTTTAGAGGGATATCACCCTAATGAATTTCTTACCTGTGTGCTGCTCTGAAAAAAAAAGAAAAATTTTACTTTGTAATAAAACTTACTGTTTGTTTTCCATGCAATTGACAGATTAATTACAAAGCCATAACTGACAACAGAAGCAAACTTTCCACAAGATTAAACTGCAAATATTAACAGCAGCACATGAACTTTTGAACATCATACCCAAGGAGGGGGATATGAACTACGTCATCATCTATTAAAAGAGTTAGTTCATCCCGAAGATCTTCTGCACACTTGGGAGTATATTCCACAACAGCTTTAAACTGAAGTCCAGATGCAATGGGTTTTTCTGGATTTTCCACAATCAATTTAAACTGCAATTTAAACAAAAGAAAGTGTTTTTAATTGTTAAGCATTTCTAGATTAATAAGGATACGTATAGTTTATTTTCAGAAGAATATAAAGATTGGTTTCAAACTTACCATGAACAAAGAACCTCCTGAAGTTATACAAAATTAAATCAGTTATTACCCAGTGAAGAATATTTTAGTGCCTGAGAAGACAACAAGGATTAAATCTCAGTTCAAAGTAGCAACAAAAGGGGACAGGTAAGAGTTTCTTCTAGGTCTGACTGACATCAACAGAAAGTCTCACTGCTCATTGAAAATCTGCTTGAAAGGCCCAAGGCATCTCCAGTCTTGGGAGTCAAATGAAACAGAAAAAAACAGAAAACATTTTCTTTCCTCTCACAAAAAAATTATGCTGGACTTGCTGTCAGTAAGCATCTGTTTAAATGAAACACTTCCCACACCTTTCCTTGAACAGAAGACACAAGTAACCAGCTAGCACATAGAGGGAAACCCAGCTTTTCCCACGTTCCTAGGAAAACCTCAAAGTAAAGTCTAGAACTCCTCTGGTGGTTCAGTCTCTTTAAAATTCTCATTACGCCATGCACAGTGGGCTTCCACTCTTTATGTCCAATTTAAATATTTTTAATTTCTGAAAGACAGTCTATTCAGTATCCTCTAGGTTTTCTGTTCTAGTTTACGTTTTAGATATGCAAACATAATTTACTACTTGCTGTTTCTGTTGCTTGACCACTTCCTTCTTTTCCTTCAGAATCCTCCTAACAGTATAAATACTCAGCTAAAGGAAATTTATGTCATGCACATCATGATTATAGGCTTGATATTGAAAGAGTAGTCATGTTTTAATTCTGAGGTGCGTAGAAACTGTATGTTCTCTGAAAAGAATTAAAGTATATTCATTTTGTACAAGGCAAAATTAATTTTTTTATTAGGAATAGTCAATGAAAATTATGGAAAACTGCTTGTGAACTTTATTCCTTGGAAGGCATTTCTTGGCCTTGCACTATGACAGCTGAAGGAAGGTTATTTTTCAGTGCTTGCACTCTGAGCATCTAGTGTACCAGAAAGTATTTCAGAGGAGTCGTACACGTCAGAGCCTTGTAATCACAGACAGCAACACGAGGTCTGGAATGAGTAGGGGCAACACAAAGGGCCTTTCTGGAAGTGGGGGTGTGAAGTGGAATCTTGTCCCCTAGCTGTCATCTTGCTCGTCTGTGTACAGTGCCATTACAATACACAGCAAATGGCAGGAGTCCATCACAGAGGGAAGCACCACAAATCTATGATTTAGTAACCTTTTCTCTTTTCTAAAATTGACTCTGCCTTTCCACTTCTGAAGCACATGAAAAATTGTAAAGGCTATTGACAAGCAACAAAACAGAATAAGCACAGCCCTACCAAATCAAGCACTCTCAACAGTTTCCAGTTCATACCAGAAGTCTTCAGCTACAGTTTAATAAGAATCAAGCTGCCACTCTTGCCCTCAAAAAAAAAAGGTCACTACTCAGTGACATTACTCAAGGTACTTCAATTGTCTGAAAAACAGATTGATGACTACCCTGAATTATTCATAGTTCAAGCTGCTATAAACAAAAAGCAACATCAGTTTCTGTTCAACCCCTGATGCCAGTTCAACCCAACCTTTTGAGCTAAATTTTGACATAATTTACAAACAATAAAGCACTAACCACAACAGGGCTTTGCTGGAGCCACATAGGTTATGAGGGCTCAACTGGTTAGAATTGTAGAGATGCATTTGCCTTTAAAAAAACAGGCAAAGCAACTTCCACAACTTATCAGATGTTATCAATAGCTATCACATTATCTTGAGAAAAGATTGCAAATGTCCTCTTTTCTGAGGGAGCTCTCAGGGAGAAAGCAGAACAAGGAGACAATTCCACTCAAAAAACTTGGAAGTATACAACTTAGAAATGCACTAAGAGACCTGTCACTTTCCAGATTTGGTGTTCACACCACAGCAAAGTGACCCATTTTTACAGAACGTTCCTTAAGTCACGAGGAACTCTGGGCTTCTTGCGGGATGAATTCTGGAAAGCTCAAAGGCAGCCAAGAAGGCAAAGCAGGATTTGTTGCCAAGGAACTTGATCACAGAACCATTAAGGTTGGAAAAGCGTCCAGCATCATCAAGAGCAACTGTTAATGGCTGATGTAGTAAGGAAAGCCTGTTTATTTCTACTGAAACTATGGATTTAAGAAAGAAGAAGTTCCCTCTAAACTGTTCAGAGCCTCGGGAGAATAAAGAACCGGGAAGTTCAGAGTTCTCTTCGTTCTGCCGCTGTTCCGGCGGGCTGGAGGCGATGCCCCAGGCAAACGCAGCGCGGCCGCTGCTCGCAGAGAGGCGACCGCGGGCACCCGCCGCCTCCCTCGTGGCCGGCCCTCACCTGGGGCTTGTGAGGCGGCAGCAGCCGCAGGCGGCAGGCGCCCGCCCGCAGGTTCTGCACGGTGAGCGCGGCTCGGTAGCAGCTCCCCGGGACCGCATCGCTGAAGCGCAGTTCGGCCGGGGCGATGCGCACCCCGCACACGTCCCGCCAGCGCTCCGCCATAGCCCGCCCGGCCGCCAGCGGCCGCTTAGCAACGGACGCGGGGCGCTGATTGGCGGAAAAGCCACGGCAAGGCCAAAATGCACCAATCGGAACAGGAGAAGCGGGAGGGCTCGGGTGAACTCGGCTAGGTTCGGGTGAACTCGGCTAGGTTCGGGTGAACTCGGCTAGGTTCGGGTGAACTCGGCTAGGTTCGGGTGAACTCGGTTGAGTTCGGTTCGGCTCGGCCCAGCCCAGGTCGGGTGAACACGACGCGGTTCGGCTCGGCTCGGCTCGGCGCAGGTGACGCAGGATCGTGTCCAGGCAGTGTTTAAATGTTTCCAGCAGGAAGAGTTCTTGACTTCCCTGGATGGCCTGTTCCTGTGCTCTGGCACCTTCAGCATAAAGTTCTTCCTCATGTTGTGGTGGAACTTCTTTTGTTTTAGTTACGGCCATTGCTCCTCATTCTGTCACTGTGTACCACTGAAAAGAGTCTGCTGCCACCCACTTGGCACCCATTTTTGAGATATTTATATGCATAAATGAGATCTCCTCTAAGTCTTTTCCTCTCTAGACTAACCAGGCCCAGCTCCTGCTGTCTCTTCTCATAAGAGATGCTACAGACCCCTCATCATTCCTGTGGCCTCTACTGGACCCTCTCCAATAGCTCTTTGCCTTTCTTGTGCTGTGGAGCCCAGAACTGGACACTCCAGATGTGGCCACACTATGGCCAAGTAGAGGGGGAAGATCCCCTCCCTGGCCTGCTGGACACACTTCCCAGAGCACCCCAGGGTGGGATTTACCACTGAGGAGAAACCTGAGGCAATGCCCACCTTGGGGCTCAGGCTTGAGGCTGTC